TGCACCTCTTGGGAGTTTGTGAAGTCAAAATTGGTCAATCCTTATCCAAACATCAAGTGCCTCTTATAGAAGATACGTAAGATAATTTAGAATATTTCTATGTTTTTGGTTTCACATTTAAACGTCTAGATTGATGTGCAACCAAATTTTAGTTTGCATGTCTTGTTTTCTTCAATTTGCACTTAATACTTTTTTTAAGTGTCATAGTTTCACTTCTTAAAACCCAATAAACTTTATGTTCCAACTAGAGGGATAGGTGATATTCTTTTTTCCATTTGTTTTGAGGACCGAATTTTTAGCCTCAACTTTTTCATAACATTCTTTATCAGCATCAAACTTATCCTTTTCTATTTCTTCATCAAATTCATTTGCATTCAGAATTTTCTTCAATTTATCTTGACTCAACATATCCACTATATGCAAAACATTCTTCCACTTCATCGATATATTTTAAAAAGATACACATGGTCAGTTTTCCCTTCTGCACGTCTATTAGTATGATCTTGGTTGCTAAAAATGATCGTCTAAGGATCACAGGCACCTCTACATCTACTTCAAATTTCCAAATTATAAAATCAATAGGAAAGATAAATTTGTAAACCTTTACCTGCACGTCCTTGATCTTTTCTTCTATGTGCACCATGCTCCTATTTGTAAGCTGAAACGTAACCGTTTTTGGGTTTGGCCTCTCTAATACCAAGCCTTTTAAATACTGAGAAGGACATTATATTAATACCTACATTGAGATTGCAAAGTGCATGTCTTACATCTCTCTCACCTATGGAGCAAGGGATGGTGAAGCTCCCACAGTCTTTGAGCTTCGAAGAAACTTTACTCTTAAGTAAAGTGTGCAACTTTTTATTTCTTAGATGGTTCAGTCGTTACGAGGTTAAGTGTCTTAGTTAAAGAAACTGATAGTTCTAAAATTACTATTTGGCATAAGCTTTAGGTCACATGAGTGAACAAGGGTTAAGTGAGTTAGTAAAATAAAATCTTCTCCCAGTTGATAAAAATGTAGACTTAGACATTTGTCAACATTGCGTATATGGTAAGTCCAAGAGAGTCAAAATTTGAAAAACGGTATGCGTGTAACAAAAAGAAAGTTAGAGCATGAACATGCCAACTTATGAGGGTAATCTAGCGACTGGTGGGGCTAAGTATTTTTTATCCATTATAGATGATTGTACTATGAAAGTGTGGGTTTATTTTTTGAAAAACAAATTTTTCGCTTTTCATAAATTCGTTGATTGGGTAAATCATGTAGAAACCAAACTAGCCTTAGAGTTAAGAAATTTAGAACCGATAATAGCCTAGAGTTTTGTAATCATAATTTTAATAATTATTATTAGTCTAAGAGTATAGTTAGGTATTGACCGTTGCAGGAAACCCCCAACAAAATGGATTAGTTGAGGGTATGGGTGATCAAGTAGAGCCGAAAAACCGATTGAACCGACCGAACCCGACCAAACTTATATTGGTCGGTTGGTTTAATAGCTAATTCAGTCAGAATCAATTTTGCCATGTGCAAAACTAAAATTTCGATCGGTCGTAATGACTGGAAAATCAATTTTCGACCGATCGATTGATATTTAAAAAAAAAAGTAAGGCAACAGTAGTTCCCATGAAACCAGCAGCGTGATTTTAAAACTAGCGGATTTTCTTGTGCTCTTTTTTCTTTTGTTCTTGACTACCCCTCACCTTACCTCATGTGTTTGTGATTCTTCAAGTTCGTGTTGTGTAGTTGTCATTCTGCCTTCCTCGCTTCGTCGCTGGTGCCTCCCTCCCTCACCTCTCTTCCTCCACCTCTTCTCTCATCTTCCTTTCTTTTTTTCTTCTCTCATTTTCTTCTTCTCACTTTTTTATCTTTAAATCGACCAAAACCGACTCCGATCGACAAGCTCCGACCGACACAAACCGACTTGTCAGTTATTAATAGCGGTCTAAGACCAAACCAACTCTGACCGACCGATGATCACCCCTAGTTGAGAGGATAAAGACTCTAATAGAAAAAGTGAGGTGTATGTTTTCCAATTCACAGCTTCCCAAGAGTTTTTGGGGTGACGTTGTCGTGACTACATGCTACATAATTAATAGGAGCCTCACCATTTGATAGCCCCCAATATGGGGCATATTTTACAATCATTATAGTAGAATTAATTGCTAGTTTCCATTTGTTTATGACAAATTCACACATATAAATGTTATTTTGTATAAATAGGTACCAAGAAGAACCGGGACATCGAATTGATCAAATAGAGTGAAAAGTCATAGCTCAAACATGTCTAGAGGGCACCACAACATAATTTAGAGCCAGAAGACCCGATAGGATAGCGTTAACATGCTACTAGAGCATCTCGACGCTCAAACATTGCAGCCAGCCAATTGACCAGCGAGGGTAGCTGTAACAACCGGGAAATATATATATATATATATATATATATTTATTTATTTATTTATTTAATTATTTTTTTTTAGTTGTTTTCTTTTATTTTCTCAAAGATAAACCTTTTTGTTTTAAAAATTATTTTTAAAAGATATTTTGTTCTTAGAATTTAAAAAAATAAAGAGAAAGAGTTTTATTAAATCATTATCTTTTTATGTTAGCCTTTAAAAAAAAAAAAGATTCAGTAGGGTTTGTTTTAAAAGCCCTTAAACCCTTGGTTTTATTTTCTTAAACTACTAGACCTAGTTTTCTCTCCAAGAGAAAAAGGAAAAGAAAAGAAGAAGAATTTTGGTATTTTCTCTCAAAGATCGGTAAGTTTTCTTTCCTATTGTTTTAGTTTTATTTTCCTGATCTGTAGTTCTTTAATTTAGTTTATTGGGAAAAATTTTGAGGTCCTTGTTTTTGGAATAAAAGATTTTAAGGACTTTTTGCCCTAAAAAATTTCTAGAAATTTTGGTTTGAATCTTGTTGTTTATGAGACTATTTTTGGGCTATTTTTGGACTCTTTTTGCATCAAAAGTTTACCTATCTGTATCTCATAAACTATAGTTTATTGTTCTGATTTTTACATGAAAAATTGATGTTTTTACCAAGTTTAAAGATTTTTCTATACAGTTTTCATATCTGATTTTTCTATAAAAATCAGTAAATTGATAATTGTTTTGTGGGAAATTCTTTGGAGTTTTATTTTATAAAAAAGAAAATTTTCCATATTTAAAATCCCCAAATTTTAAATTGTTTAGAAGGCTTTTAGGCTTGTTTTTTTGAGAGACTTTTTGTAAATTTAGTCCGTATTGATTTATACCGATTCTCGTAATTTTAAACTTTGTTATTTTTGAATTTAGAGGCTTTTTAACCCAGTTTTTAGATCTATTTTTGTAGCTCTAAATCCATTTTTTCCTAATTTCCTTGAATGAAAAAAGTGTTTTGAATGGGAGAATTGAGTAGATAAGATTTGCTTAGTAATTGGTTGAATTTTAAATCCTTAGGTAGGATTTAAGGATTGATTATGGATATTGCTTGGTTCTAAGTCTCTATATTGACATCTACCCAAGCAAGAAGTTAAGTTACATTTGAAGGATTTCCGAGAGAGGTAAGTGATTTATCATATCCCCTCGAAAAGTATTGTAAGTGATTTACCATATCCCTTCGAAAAATATTGTAACTAATTTGCCATATCCCTTTGAAAAGTATTGTAAATAATTTGTTATATCCCTTCGGAAAATTGATATTATATTTATTTTCAAAATATTGGAAGCATGTTTTGTATGAATTGATAAAGTTTTGTTGAAATTATTTAAATGTTTGAAATTGATCTTTCGTTTATTTGTGAAATATTTGAAATTATGTTTTGTATGATTTGATAAACTTTGTTTGAAATTATTTAAATGTTTTGAATTGATTTCATATTGAAATTATGTATTTGTTTTGCATATTTATTTGAAAGATATTTTTGATTGATTTGATAGAGCTATCCGGATATGCCTATTTTTGTTTTGAGGAATGTTTTGCTTATTTGGGGTAGTAGCCTAATTTGGAATTGATGGATTTCTGTTATGGCTTATTTGTGGAAAGACACTTTTGTGGTTTGAAATTTCTTGTGATTGAAGATTCATGTGTGTGATATTCACTCGCATGGCCTCACACTTAAGTAATCATTCTGTTTGTTTTGGTCGATGTTATTTCGACAACTCTGTTTTGGTCGATATTAATTCGACAACTCTGATGGAAGCTTCTAATTGATTGGTATTACCGACAGATAACTATATATGTTCTCTAAGCTACCCAAATAATGCAACCTCCCACTCTAATTTTGAAAGTGTGAATAAATGTAACATTGTTTTGAATGTTTGAATGATTTGTTTTATTCGAAAGTTTGAAAGTTGTACTAAATGTTTTAGAAGAAAATTTAAAAATTTTGATATGTTTGTACTTTTTGTTACAAATGTTTTCAAATGCAAAAATGAATTTTAATGTTTGATATGGAAGTTGCTTATTTAGTAGTTTTGTACTTATTTTTCTGTTTTCTAAATGTTTTCAGATGAAAGTTCGAGTGACTGCTCAGATAGTGATTGAGGAATAGCATTCTGACATGAGGAGTTGGAATCTTTAGTATTTTCTTTTTTTTTTTAGCTGATGACAACTTAGTTAGTTCTGCTAGTTATTCCTTGTTTTTATTGTATAGGTTTCTGTTTTAAAGTTGGACTTGTCCTTATCTTTTGTCATAGTATCAAATTAAATAAAATCTTTCTTTTAATATAGTATTTATTTGTTTACGCTTCTACATTATTGTTAGAATGACAATATTAGAAAATACGGGTTGTTACAGTTGGTATCAGAGCGATGGTTTGAGGTTCTGTAGACTCTATGATTCTGAAGTGTTTTGTTAATGCTAAAGTTCATGCCACAACATTAGGTTTTATAGTTTTGAATTTTGAGTTTTGAGAGAGTTTGTTTTCTATGTGCTAGTTACTCACTATATCGTTACAATATAGTTATTTTATTTTATATTTTTTTTTTACCACTAAAGATTGGTTGACACATGCTTTGTAAAACAATGCCGCCACAAAGGAATAATAATTGTAGGACTGCAGTTGTTGATGAACCGCAAGATAATATCCCAGTTGTTCCACAAAACCAAAAAACTAACAGGAATGCTCCAGCCAATGATCGAGTCAATCGTGTGGTGGAACAGTTTAGAATGCTCCATCCACCCTCTTTTGATGGTACAAGCCCAGATCCAAGCATTCCTGAATAATGGATCGAGGAAATCGATAAGGCTTTTGACTTTATGATGATCGTCAAAAAGTGGCTTGTGCTACGTACATGTTGAAAATAGGAGTAAACAAATGGTGGAATATGACTCGCAAGACATGGAATATCGCTGAAAATCCTATGGGCTCGGATAGGTTCAAGGAGCTTTTCTATGGGAAGTTCTTTCCCCTGACTGCCAGACAGAACAAGGAGGCAGATTTTATCAAGTTAGAGCAAGGAAAACTGTCCCTGATAGAGTATGAAAAGAAGTTTGAGGAGCTTTCTCACTACGCCCCTCATTTGGTGGACACTGATTGGAGGAAAGCAAGAAAATTTGAAAGAGGTTTGAGACCAGAATTAAGGAAGCATGTTGCTGCCTTCATATTGATTACGTGTGCCGAGGTGTTGCAAAAAGCTCAGATCTTGTCACAGGATTTGGACAACATGAAGTCACTTTCCAAGGATGGTGGTTCAAAAAGAAAGTTCCATAGAGGACAAAGTTCGGTCACCCTCATAAGAGAGTAGGCTCTAGCAGTAGTGGACAGCGGTCCGAGTGTAAGACATGTGGCAAGAACCATACTGGGACATGCTACAAAGCAACAGGAGCCTGCTTTCGATGTGGAAAACCAAGATACTTCATCAACAATTGTCCATTGAGCCAAAAAGTTGATGACTAAGCAAGAGGCTAATGATGAGCTTAATGTGGTTTCAGGTACCATCCTCATAACTGGAATTATTGCTTTTGTATTGATTGATTCTTGTTTTACAAATTCTTTCATATCGGCAGAATGTTTAAGTTGGTACCTGTAGACTTGAGCTATATACTTAAAGTATCAACTTCATATGGTAATGTCCTAAATACTGATAAGGTAGTTAAATCATCTCAATTAAGTATTGTAGATCGAAACTTGATTGCTGATTTGACAATCCTTCGTATGACTGATTTTTTATGCGATTCTGGGTATGAATTGGTTGTCTACAAATGATGCTAACATTCTTTGCCATGAAAAAGAGGTCTTGTTCTCCCCTCCAGATCAACCAACGTTTCGTTTTATGGGAGTAAAAGTACATCTTCTTCCAAAGATTATATCTGCACTTTAAAGTATCTGAGCTGATTGAGAATGGTTGTTGGGGTTATCTAGCCAGTGTAGTTAACACAGAGAAGACATGTAAGCCAATTGAAGAGTTACTTGTAGTGTGCGAGTTCACTGATTTTTTCCAGAAGATTTTCCAGGTCTGCCCCTAACAGAGAGATTGAATTCTTTATTGATTTGATACCCGGAACTGCACCATTGTCCAAAGCACTCTATAGAATGGCCCCTACCGAACTTCGAGCAGTCGATGAACAAATCCAATAGTTGTTAGACAAAGGTTTTATTCGTCCAAGTGTTTCTCCTTCGGGTGCTCCAGTCCTTTTTGTTAAAAAGAAGGATGGATCTCTTCGTCTGTGCATTGATTATAGGGAGCTCAACCGTGTGACTATAAAGAATAAATACCCATTCCCTCGGATTGAAGATTTATTTGACCAGCTTCAAGGCACTAGTGTTTTCTCAAAGATTAATTTGAGGTCATGCTATCACCAATTGAAGATTAAAATTTGTGACGTCCAAAAGACTGTATTTAGAACATGTTATGGCCATTATGAGTTCTTGGTCATGCCTTTTGGATTGACTAATGCTCTAGCTGACTTTATGGATTTGATGAATAGTGTATTCAATAATTTCTTGGATAAATTTGTCATTGTCTTCATGGATGACATCTTAGTTTATTTCGAGACAAAGCTCGAGCATGAGTTGCACTTAAGGCAAGTATTAGAAGTATTACAGGAGAAGAAACTCTATGCTAAATTTAAGAAGTGCGAGTTTTGGCTTAAGAGTATTGCCTTTCTAGGGCATGTGATGTTCAAAAAGGGGATCTCAATGGATCGAAGCAAAGTTGAAGCGATTATGAATTGACCACGACCCACCAATTTATGGGAAATTCGAAGTTTTCTTGGCTTAGCTGGCTATTATAGAAGGTTCGTGGAAGGTTTTTCCAAGATTTCATCTCCTTTGACTCAACTAACAAGAAAGAATGCCTGTTTTCAATGGTCAGAAGATTGTGAGCAAAGTTTTCAAGAATTGAAGAAGAGACTTGTTACTGCTCCAGTTTTTGTTGGGTGTGTTGCCCTAAACTCGTGGTTTGTATTTATGTAAAAACAAATGTATATTCAATAAAGTTTCATTCAATCAATTTGTTGTTGAATTCATATCATTGCATTGTTCAAAATCCAATAAACTAAACATCCAAGGTTATTATCATGTAACCGGGATAGTATATCTATTGGGTATATATTTGATATACTAGGTATATATTTGATATACCCTTGATATACTAGGTATATATTTGATATATCCCTGATATACAAGTGGATAATGTCTAGTGAATAACCTAAAGGGTCTATAGTATATGGATAAGACTGGGTACCTTATCCTGGCAACACTATGGATACGGCCCACTTTGTAAATGTTACAGACGACTCGATCAGGTCGTTCGTGTGGAAACATGCGAGTGGGAGTATCTTATACAATGAGTTTGTATAAGACCAGACTGCGAAATAGTCAATCTTTAGATGTAACGCCATTGATTAACAAATTACTATTTCATAGGATGACCAGACAACTCATTCTCAATCCTGAGTGAGTTATGGACTTCTGCCCGTGAGGGCTTGTCCTTTGACCTGTATGGGTGAGAGTGGACCGAGTCGCCGACTCAATATTCCTACCATTTTTAGGACGAGACCGAGTGGGGAGTTGGGAACATAACTTCACAAGATGAAATTCACTGCTCCCCGACTTTAGAGAGTAGATGAGTGTTCTCTTAAATGCTGACTCCGAGACTTGAACAAGGGGCCCCAACCTCTCACTGGCCCGAGAAGGACTTCCGGTTATTGGTCGAATCATAACCAGGTTGTTCATTAGAGGAGTAGTGATATTTAAGGAGAAAGATGTAACTTAGGGGTAAAACGGTAATTTGACCCAGCTTAAGTTACGAGCACTCGTGAAGGATTGACTTGTCATTAATGGTCGTATATCAATGGACACGAAAAACATTCTACAGTGAGAAGAGTGCAACTGTAGGTCTTTAATGGAGTGACCCGTAGTTAACGAATGTTGATTAGCTCGGTCAATTAGTTTGACCGATTAATCTTGCATCGTTGGAGCTTCTAATTTGTAGGTCCATTAGGTCCCCTTGCTAGCTCATAACGGGTAAAACGAGGATCAAGTTTTTGGAAAATTTTGAAATATTCAAATTGCTCAAGAGATTATATGTATTGTGATACATTATAATATATAGTTAATTCTAATTGAAACTATATATTATGAGAGAAATTATTTGAATGAGATTCAAATAAAATTAATATGAATATGATTCATATTAAAATGATAGGTTAAAAATAATTTGCATAAGATGTACATTACAACTATAGGTTATATGAGAGAAATGCTATAGAAATGATTCTATTTTTGTAATAAATAATTAAGTGTTAATTATTTATTGGATTTATATGTATACATATATTAATTGTTAATTAGATTAATAATTAATAATTAATAATTAATTAATATGATTAATTATATATATATATATATTAATTATTATATATATTAATAATATTAATATATATAATTATAATTAATATATAACTCCCCTGCAAAAATGCAGGGGAGTTGGGAGTTAAGTGACGTGGGGTAACAGTATTTTGGTTTTGTTTTGCAGAAAGGTTCTACTAAGCACAGAACAGAGACACCCAACATAACTCTCTCGAGTACTCTTTCTCAATTCTCCCTTACGTTCCAAATCGATGTTCCCACAAGCACGATCTCGGTACCCAGAGGATAGCACGGAAGACCATTAGGTGGTGTTCGTTGGTGTTTTCATTGAAGAAAAGTTCTTCAAAGGTAAACAACTTTTTCCTCTGTATTTCCATGTCATGGTATGGATTTTGTTTCTCAAAATTGATGAACGACGATCATCGCTTCCGTCGTGGGATTTACATCCCATCAGTTTTAGCGGTTCCTGGTGGGACTCAGGTTTTGTGTTTTATAGTGATGCATCAAGAAATGGTCTAGGTTGCGTACTTATGCAAAATGGTAAAATTATTGCCTATGTTTCGCGACAACTCAAGAACCATAAACATAATTACCCCACTCACGACTTAGAGTTAGCAACAGTTGTGTTTGCTTTAAAAAAATTGAAGGCATTACTTGTATGGTGCTCGTTGTGAGATTTTAAACAATCATAAGAGCTTAAAATATTTCTTCACTCAGAAGGAAGTAAATATGCGTGAATGATGTTGGTTGGAGTTAGTGAAGGATTATGATTGCACTATTAGCTACCACCCTGGTAAAGCCAATATGGTGGCAGATGTCTTAAGTAGAAAGTCTTCAGGTTACTCAGTAGTCTTACTCACAACTCAGGAGCATTTAATTAAAGATTTCGAGAACTTAGCGATTGATGTGCTTACAGAAAGTGTATCGTTGTTGTTGGGTAGCTTGGTGGTTGAACCATCTTTAATCAGCAGGATCAAGCAAGCTTAACATTCAGATCCAGCTTTGAAGAAAATTGTAGATGATGTTAGTAAGTCTAAACGAGTTGACTTTTCAGTGTCATGTGATGGAGTTTTATGGTTTGGTGATCATCTTTGCGTACCAAATGACCAGATTATTAAGAAGGAGATCATGGTTGAAGCTCATAATATACTCCATACCCGGTTCACCCTAGGAGTTCAAAAATGTACAAAGACCTCCAAAGAACTTATTGGTGGACAAGAATGAAGGGAGACGTTGCCAACTTTGTTAGCCATTGTCTAACATGCCAGCAGGTAAAGATTGAACATCAAAGACCATCGGGACCCCTCCAAGTTTATGTCAAGGAAATAGTTCGACTGCATGATATACCGATCTCTATAGTATCAGATAGAGATCCCAAGTTTACCTCCAAGTTTTAGAGAAGTTTGCATAAGGCTCTAGGCACAAGACTTGACTTCAGCACTGTTTTTCACCTGCAGTCTGATGGCCAAACAGAGAGGACAATTCAAACATTGGAAGATATGCTTCGAGCTTGTACGTTGGATTTTCAAGGGAGTTTGGAGAAGCATCTGCATTTAATTGAATTTTCTTATAATAATAGCTATCAAGCAACCATTTGAATGGCACCCTTCGAGGCTCTTTATGGACGAAAATGCAGGTCACCCGTCAATTGGAGTGAAGTTGGAGAAAATTTAATTTTGGGACTAGAATTAGTGCAGAAAACGAACGAGTCCATTAGCTTAATCAAACAGAGAATGGAGCAAGCTCAGAGTCGTTAAAAAAGTTATGCCAATGTTTGAAGAAAAGAATTGAACTTTGAGGTTGGAGACTTGGTATTTTTGAAAGTATCGCCATTAAAAGGAATTTTAAGATTTGGAAGGAAAGGAAAGCTTAATCCAAGATTTATTGGACCTTTTGAAATTTTAGAAAACGTGGGTGTTGTAGCATATTGCT